CCCGGCCCTCTTCCCGCAGGACCTCTGAGGCCCCGGCCGTCGGGCGGCTGGGGGACGGCGGCACCTGAGTGAAAGTCTGCCTGCCTGTCAGCCCAGGCCCTGAACCTGGGGACACTGGATCGGGCGAGCTCTGCCCATGGGGTGGGATGTGGGGACCCCGCTCCCGCATCCTGTCTGTCCTCAATGGCACGACTTCTCTTTCGGGCCCCTCAGTGGATGGTCACCATGGGCTGACCCAAGGCAGGGGACATGCGGAACCTCAACGGCCCGGCCCCGCCCCCGAGTGTCCCACCTGCTCTGTCCCTTTCACTGGGCCCCCGTCACATCCAGCCTTTGGAGATGAGGTCCTACAGCAGTGGTTCTCAGCCTGGGCTGCCCATCAGGATCCCCCGGGAATCTTTTAAAATCCTGATTTCTGGGCCTCATCCTCTGGAAATTGTTTCTTTGTTACGGGGTGGGGCCACAACATGAGTAACAAAGAAACAGAATTTCCGGGGGATAAGGCCCAGAAATCAGGATTTTAAAAAGATTCCCGGGGGATCCTGATGGGCAGCCCAGGCTGAGAACCACTGCCCACAGGAAGGTGCTTCCTGGCGCCCGGGAGGCGAGTTCCTCTGAACTGACTGTGGATACAGGTTTGGAGGTTGTTTAAAACGTCCACGTGAGTCCGTTGTTTTTCTTTAAAAGAACTGCCCTTGCCCAAGACCAAGTCCCACCTGGGTCTCTCCACCGGTGCTGAGGCAGGGACAACAGGGACCCCAGTCCAGTGCCCCCACCAGAGAGCGCGCCCTCGTGTGTCCCTCACCTACGGACCCCCCGCCTCCCCGAGGACAAGGGGCTCAGAGGGACTCACCTGGAGCAGGTCGCTGAGGTCCAGGAGCATGTCTGCAGGGGGTAGGGTGAGCCGTGCGGTGGTGCGCCGTCTCTCATGGGGCCCACCGAGCGGGCAGGCCCAGCTCAGCCGGTGCGGGTGGTGAAGGGCAGCAGGTGACAGAGCCTCCCAGCAGGACGGGGAGAGCCCACCCATCAGGTGTCCCTGCACCAGGGGGTCCCCTGCACCAGGGGGGGCCCTGCCCCGGCACAAGTACGCAGCAGCATCACTGAGGACTCGGGGCTGGGACAGGCTGTGCCCGAGGGGCGGCCGGGGGATGGGCACGGTCCTGTGCTGGCTCTGGGCGGATGATTCAGACGCCACCAGAACAGGCCCTAGTGACTCAGACGAGGCACACGAACCCCCTCGAGCCGCTGAGGCGAGCGCTTGTCAAAGGAGAGTGCTGCCGGATCTGCGGCGCTGGGTCCCGCAGAGGGAAACGCTGAGGCCCTGCCCGGAGGGCGCAGCCACACGGCCACGTGCAATCACAGGCATGACTGCCGTGGGGACAGGACACGGAAGGTGGGACGGCCACAGGGACTACAGCGCAGCGACCAGTGACGCGGAGACAGCAGAGCAAACTGACCGCAGGGGCTGCAATGAGGTCCAGCCAGATGTGCTCCGGACAGGGTGATCAGACAGGACGGCGGGAAGACCTGGGGCTGGGGGGGGAGGGGGGAGAGGTGGTGGATGGCCGGGGCACACACACACTATGGTGACGCAGACAATGTGCGCCTGTCAGAGTGACGTGATGATGTATGACGTGTGGATGCAGGTCCATCAGTGTGACATGCCACACGTGTGCCAGGAGCAGACGGGAGCTGGGTGGGGCTTGGGGGAGGAGGAGGGACACGGGATGACGTAGCACTCCCGTAAACCTAAACTGGTCTAGAAAAGGAAGCCTATTAAAAAAACTATACATATAAAAGGCTAAGCAACCAGCGCACCAGCCGGCACTGACCACCAGCGGGCAGACGCTCAACACAGGACCTGCGGTGACTTGGCAGCAGTGGTTCCCCGGAACCAGAGAGGAGGGAGCCCCATCACCCGAGAACCACCCTCTCGCAAACCAGGACCCCTCAGGGGATGTCGGAGAGCCAGTTTCGCCCAAGATCCCCGCAGGCCAGGCCGAGGGATGCCACCTGCCCGAGGGACCCTGCGTAGGCCGCTGTGGCGCCACCCCAGGTGCCAGGTGTTTTCATTTT